CAAGACCCAGCTCAACCCACCAGTGGGCAGACATCAGAACTAAGAAAACTATAGTCCTGCAGCCTGCTGCAGGCTAGACACTACCCTGGGACCAGCTGGCCCCTGGCCCTTGGGTGACGAGAGGGGAGTGTAATCCTGGGATACATAGGACGTCTCCTACAGAGGACTACTTTTCCAAGGTGGAGAAACATAACTAACCTACCATATACATAAAAATACAAATAGCAATTTAGAAAAGATGAGGAGACAGAGGAATATGTTTCAGATGAAGGAACAAGATAAAACCCCAGAGGAAGAACTAAGTGACATGGAGATAGGCAATCTACCCACGAAGGAGTTCAGAGTTATGATCGTAAAGATGATCAAAGAACTCAGGAGGAGAATGGATGCACAGAGTGAGAAATTAGAAGTTTTTAACAAGGAATTAGAAAGTATAAAGAACAACCAAACAGAACTGACAAATACAATAACTGAAATGAAAAACACACTAGAAGGAATCAATAGTAGATTAAATGAAGCAGATGAATGGATCAGTGAGCTGGAATACAGAGTAGTGGAAATCACCACTGCCAAACAGAAAGAAGAAAAAAAAATGAAAAGAAATGAGGACAGTTTGAGAGACCTCTGGGACAACATCAAATACACTAATATTCGCATTATAGGGATCCCAGAAGAAGAGAGAAAGGGCCTGAAAAAACATTTGGAGAGATAGTAGCTGAAACCTTCCCTAACCTGAGAAAGGAAATAATCACCAAAGTCTAGGAAGCGCAGAGTCCCATACAGGATTAACCCATAGAGGAACACACTAAGACATGTTGTAATCAAAATGACAAAAATTAAAGATAGAGAGAATATTAAAAACAACAAGGGAAAAGCAACAAATAACATACAAAGGAACTCCCAGAAGGCTATCAGCTGATTTTTCAGCAGAAACTCTGCAGGCCAGAAGGGAGTGGCACAATACACTTAAAGTGATGAAAGAGAAAAATCTACAATCAAATAATACTCGACCCAACAAGGCTCTTGTTCAGATTTGATGGAGAAATCAAAAGCTTTACAGACAAGCAAAAGCTAAAAGAATTCAGCACCACCAAACCAGCTTTACGACAAATGCTAAAGGAACTTCTCTAGGCAGAAAAGAAAAGGCCACAACTAGGAACAAGAGAATTACGAAATGGAAAAGCTCACTGGTAAAGGCAAACATACAATAAAGGTAGGAAATCATCCAAACATATAGCTAGTAGGGAGGTTAAATGACAAAAGTAGTGAAATTATTTGTAACCACAATAAGTGGTTAAGGGATACACAAAACAATTAGATGTAAAATATAATATCAAAAAAAGTAATTGTGGGGCTTCCCTGGTGGTCCAGTGGTTAAGACTCTGTGCTTCCACTGCTGGGGGTGTGGGTTCGATCCCTAGTCAGCGAACTAAGATCCCACATGCTGTGTGGCATGGCCAAAAAAAAAAAAAAAGTGTGAGGAGAAGAGAGTACAAATGCAGGTTATCTAAAATGCATTGGACATTAAGAGATCAGCAACTTAAGCATATATACAGACTGCTACACAAAAGCCTCACTGTAAACAAAAATCTCTAATAGATATATGCACAAAAAAGAAAAAGGAATCCAAACATAACACTAAAGATAGTCATCAAGGACTTCCCTGGTGGTGCAGTGGTTAAGAATCCACCTGCCAATGCAGGGGACACAGGTTCAAGCCCTGGTCCGGGAAGATCCCACATGCCACAGAGCAACAAAGCCCATGCGCCACAACTACCAAGCCTGCGCTCTAGAGCCTGTGAGCCACAACTACTGAGCCCACGTGCCACATCTACTGAAGCCTGGGTGCCTAGAGCCCGTGCTCCACAAGAGAAGCCACCACAGTGAGAAGCCCGTGCACTGCAACAAAGGGCAGCACCCGCTCACCGCAACTAGAGAAAGCCTGTGTGCAGCAGCGAAGACCCAACACAGCCAAAAATAAATAAATAAATAAATAAATTTTTAAAAAAAGATAGTCATCAAATCACAAGAGAAGAGAACAAAAGAAGAAAGGGGAAAAAAGACCTCATAAACAAATCCAAAACAATTAACAAAATGGCAATAGTAACATACCTATTGATAATTACCTTAAATGTAAACAAACTAAATGCACAAACCAAAAGATATACACTGGCTGAATAGATACAAAACAGGACCTGTATATATGCTGCCTACAAGAGACTCATTTCAGATCTAGAGACACATACAGACTGAAAGCGAGGGGACAGTAGAAGATATTCCATGCAAATGGAAATCAAAACAAAGCCACAGTAGCAATATTTTTATCAGAGAAAGTAGACTTTAAAATGAAGATTGTTATAAGAGATAAAGAAGGACATATGCATAATGATCAAAGGATCAATCGAAGAAGAAGATATAACAATTGTAAATACATAGGAACACCTCAATATATAAAGCAAATGTTAACAAACATAAGAGGAGAAATTGACAGTAACACAATAACAGTGGGGGACTTTAACACACCCCACTATCCCATCCCCACTTCTGTGGTCACCTTGGAAAGCAACAACCTGGAATCACAGTGAAAACCACCAGCTTTGCAATCACCTAATGGATTAAAGCTCCTTCAAATGCCCATTCCCAGAGAACTGTCATTATTTGACCTGTCTGGTGGTTCCTTGGAAGGCCCCACTCATAGGCTCTCTTTATTTGATCTGACTTGGAGCTTGCCAGTGCAAACCATCTTTTATCCCAGAGAAGCTTGTCAAAAACAGTCACAGACAATTGTTTAACAGTGCAGCCTGCCTGAGGCAGTAGACAACAGGGCAAATGAGAGGTTCCAATAAACTAAAATGAAAAAAATAAGAAATGAGATGTTTATGGGGGCTTTGAAAAGCTCAGGTATGAACCTTGGTATTGAAAAGGCCAAACACATGTCCAGGATTGTGCACATGCTCAGGAATGACATGAAAAGGCCCTAAGATCACAATTCTGGGTACCCTTGAGAGTCTGCATAAGCAAGGAGCAAGCAGAGTTTTAAACTGTCTGGCTAAGTGTTGATTGCATACCCCAAATTGCATACAGAGCCCCTTACCATAAAGTGGAACACCTATTGGTTTTAGGCATATAGGGAAACTTCTGTCATTGTTTCAGGAAACCATATCTAAAGAACTAAAGGAAAGTGTGAGAACAGTATCTAACCAAATAGAGAATAACAATAAAAAGATAGAAATTATTTTTTAAAGGAAATCCTGGAGCTGAAAAGTACAATATTGAAATGAAAAGTTCACTAAAGGGGTACAATGGCAGGTAAGAATCAGCAAAACTGAAAGATAGGTAAATTGAGATGATCCAATCTGAGAAAAAGGATAGAAAAATGAATGAAAACAATGAACAGAGCCTCAAGAGAACTGTGGGACACCGGAAACCCCTACCAAAAAAACCCAAAAAAACACACAACATACTCCCTAACAGTTTTCACAGAGGAGAAGAGATAGAAGGGGCAGAAAGAATATTTGAAGAAATAATGGGTGAAAACGTCCGAAATTTGATGATGAACAACAATCTACACATCTATGAAGCTCAATACATTCCAAGTAGGATAAACTCAAAGAGATCCACATGTAGATGTATCATAGTCAAATTGTCAAAAGTTAAATATAAAGAGAGAATTTTGAAAGCAGCAAGAGAGAAGTGACTTGTCAAATCCAAAGAAATCTTAATAACATTTGATTTCTCATTAGTAACCAGTTAATGCCAAAAAAAGTGGGATGACATTTTCAAAGTATTGAAAGAAAAAGACTGTCTATCACAAATTGTATATCCAGCAAAATTATCCTTCAGAATGGAAGGATCAACTTCCATCACTACTGGATGAAGAGCTCCATTACTTGCACCTAAGTGTAAATTATTAAAACAAACAAACCAACAAACATAACCTAAAAAAAATTTTTTTTAACCCCAATCATGCAAAGACTTTGGAAAAGGTTCAAAGAGGAAACAGCAAATTAAGAAATACGTATTCAAGAAAAAATATAAATATTTGGTAGGAAAGGTGAAAATCTGTGATATTTCAAGAAAGACTGCTGCCTGCCTCCCTCCTAGTTCAGTGAGGTGAGACTCCACTCCAGACTGCTGCAGCCAAGAACATAGGGCTATTTCTTCTCTCAGCTACCAGCTGTAAGGCTTTCTTCCTGGGAGAATCAGGACATCAATGTTTCTCATACTGCCTGCAGCTATCTATTGCTGAAGCTTAGTCCCAAGTGAGTGTGGTGGAGAGGTAGGGGGTCCCCTTCTTTTATCCAACCTCCACTCATGGAGTGGAGACCCTGTTTTGGGTATGGCACACTGAGAATACTTGAGGAGCTGCAATATAAAGGAAATGAGATTTCAAATCACAATGAGATAACATTTCACATCAGCTAGGGTGGTATAATAAAAACAAAGCAAAACAAATAAGAGTTGATGAGGAAGGATTTAGAAAAATTGGATCCATCATACATTTCTAACATCTATAATGTAAAATGGTGCAGTTACTTTGGAAAACAGTCTGGCAGTTCCTCAAAAGGTGAAACATAGAGTTACCATATGACCCAGAATTTCCAATCCTAGGTACGTGCTTAAGAGAACTGAATGATTTTGTTTATATGAAACATCTAGAATAGGCACATCTATAGCAACAGAACGTAGTAGTTGCCAGGAGCTGGAGGGAGGGAAGAATGGGTAGTGACTGCTAATGGTTATGGGGTTTCCTTTGGGGTGATAAATATATTCTGGAGTTAGTAGTGGTAGCTATTGTACAAGGTTATGACAAAAAATCCATTGAATTGCATACTTTAAAACTCTAATGGTGAGTTTAATGGTATGTGTATTATATCGAGAGAGAGAGAGAGAATGAAAGAAATAGTTACTTTTTACTTGGAACTTTGTCATTATGGCTTAGGAGTTTGAAAATCACTTGGTCAACCTTATGCAGTGTCAACCATACACTAATAGCTTACCTCAGTTCCTGTTTCTCTCCAATCCCAAGCCCGACTTCCCCCTGGCCACACTTTGCAGTCCTTATAGATTTTAGTAGAGCCGTGTACTTTCATTTGCCCCCATGAGAGGGAAGCAATTTCAGGGGAAGACATAAGGAACTTAATGGAACTCTGAAATTAAAAGAAAAATATAGTAAATCAGTTTTAAAGTAAGGTTGAAACAGCTCCAAAATACAGGAGCTATACTATAAACAGAATGTATTTCAAATTATAATGCTGTATACAAAATATAGTAAGCCCTGGTCCTCTATGAGTTAAGAAGCATCTTTCTTATTTATGTGGTTGTCACTTCTTCTCCAGAGGTCTAACAAGTGAAATGTTTTTCTTGGGATCCTGAATCATCCAACCATGGAAACTAGATACTACAATTACTTCTCAGACGCTGGAGGGAATTCTCTGGATTTTTTTTTGTTTTTGTGGTACACGGGCCTCTCACCGCCGCGGCCTCTCCCATTGCGGAACACAGGCTCCGGACGCACAGGCTCAGCCGCTCTGCGGCATGTGGGATTCTCCCGGACCGGGGCACGAAGCCGTGTCCCCTGCATCGGCAGACGGACTCTCAACCACTGCGCCACCAGGGAAGCCCCTCAGGATATTTTTGAGAGATGAAATTAAAGGTGGCGATTTACTTCAGCATGATGGAGTGAGGAAGTTGACAAATCCTTTCCCTAAAAGCAGGTATAAAGCTGGACAAAACTGTCAAAATAAAAATTTGGCACTCTGGAAATAATATTAAAGATATATTGCAAACTGAAAAACGCTTATTCAAGAAAATCACTGAATTTCAGATAAGAACAGTAAGATGTTTTGTTGTTCTTGCCTGGGATTACTCCCATGCCCCTACAACAGTTCTGTTGGCACAGAGGTTCAACTTGATTGGGGCAGGGCATGAAAACCAACAGTCTTGCTGCTAAGGCAGAGGAGGCTCACTTGATTTAGAGCATTTTCAGTTAACCTGGTGATTTCAGTGGCAAGTAAATATGGATGGCAGGTGGCTCTGCTTCCTTAATATTGTAAGCCTGTTTGGAACAAGCAATGGATTGTCAGAGTAGACAGGGATTTAAAAGGAATTCCCAAGAGGTGCTTGATAAGCTCTCTATCCAGAGTGGAGCAAAGGCTGTGAGCATATGCATCAAAGACAGGAACAGGCCTAAGTCATGGAAATGTTCTGGGCCAATGGAGCCTATAGAACATGCAAAGTGAAGAGGTGAGGGGGCTCAGAAGGACTCAGAAGAATGTAAGAGCCAGGGAAGAGATGAAAACATCTGAACATTGAATGTACTCCCCAGCACAGACGCTGATCCATCAGTAGAGAGGGTTAAGTCTTACTGGCTTGAGGTGTTTGAACACAGTCTTTAGCTGTACACTAAGACATATACGCACAGAGGAGAGCCCCTAGGAAGCCAAGCTTAAAAGTAAAAACAAGGGGAACTCCCTTACGGTCCAGTGATTAGGACTTGGCACTTTCACTTCTGGAACCAGGATTCAATCCCTGGTTGGGGAGTTCCCACAAGCCATGTGGCACAGACGAAAAAAAAAAAAGAGGAAAAAAAAAAAGCCCTTAATACAGATTTCAGTGGCCACATGTTGCATGGGAGACAGAATCCACAGATTTAGTTTAGGCAAGTGACTAAACAGAAACAAATAAACTAAGAACAACAATGTAGGGGGAAAATCCAAATCCAGACTCTATAATACATTATCTAAAATACCCAGTTTTCAATAAAAAATTACAAGACATGTAAAGAAACAAAAAAATGTGACTCATACTCATCAACTGAAACAGTATCTGAGCACTCCCATATATTTGATTCAGCGAAGACTTCAAAGAAGCTACTCTAAATATGTTCAAAGAACTAAAGGAAACTATTCATAAAGAATCAAAATTATGATGAAACGGGACGGGCAAGTTAGGGGGATGGGATTAAGAGATACAAAATGCTCTTTATAAAATAGATACGCAACAAGGATATATTGTATAGCACAGGAAATTATAGCCATTATTTTGTAACTTTTAGTAGAGTATAATTTGTAAAAATACTGAATCACTATGTTGTATACCTAAAACTAATATAATGTTGTAAATCAACTACACCTCAGGGACTTCCCTGGTGGTCCAGTGGTTAAGAATCCACCTTCCAGTGCAGCGGACGCGGGTTCCATCCCTGGTCAGGGAACTAAGATCCCGCATGCCGCAGGGCAAGGAAGCCCGTGTGCTGCAACTACAGAGCCTGCATGCCACAACTACAGAGGCTGTGTGCTGCAACTAAGACCCGACGCAGCCAAAAATAAATAAATAAATATTTAAAGAAAACTATACTTCAGTGTGAAAATTATGACAATGACTCAATGAATATAGAATCTCAATAAAGGGATAGACATTTCAAAGAAGAATCAAATGGGAATTCTAGTATTGATAAGTACAATAGCTAAAAGGTGCTTGATTCAGGTTTCTCCAGAGAAACAGCACCAGTAGACTATATATATTAACAGATTTATTTGACAGAAGTGGCTCATGCAGTTGTGGGGATTGGCTAGTGCAAAATGTGCAGGGCAGGCTGGCAGGCTGCTCTCAGGCAAGAGTTGTCATTTCAGTATTGACGTGTTATTTCTTCTTCCTCAAGGAAACCTCACTTTTCCTTTTGCGGCCTTTCAACTAATTGAATGAGGCCTTCCAAGAGTATTGAGGATAATCTTCTTTATTTAAAAGTCAACAAATTGTAGATGTAAACTAGGTCCACAAAACACCTTCATAGCAGCACCTAGATTAGTGTTTGATTGGATAACTGAGTGCTATAGCCCAGCCAAGCTGACACACAAAATTAACCATCAGTCTACCCCTTGTTAATATGGTACCTATATACATGTCCTTAAACTGTATTTAATCTCCAAATAAAGACAATAACAAAGTGATATTTCTCCCTAATATTAATAACTACTAACCTATTTTTAAAATGTGTAATATAACAAAGGACATAAACACACTATCTTTGGTGCTATGGGAGGAAGACACAAATTTATAAAACATGATTCTTGTTGAGAAGTTAATATTACACTAGAGGAGAGAAGACATATGCAAATTACTAACAATTTTTTAAAGGTGACTTTTAAAAATTACAAGGTAACTTTTGAAAAGTGGTATAAGGAAATTGTAATTAACTGTTATGAGGGTTGAGAAAGACTTCTGTACTAGTCTGCTAGAGTTTCCATAGTAAAATAACAAAGACTGGGTAGCTTAAACAACAGAAATTTATTTTCTCATAGTCTGGAGACTGGAAGTCCAAGATCAAAGTGCCAGCAGGGCTGGTTTCTGGTGAGACCTCTGTTCCTGGCTTGCAGATGGATTCTTTCTTGCTTTGTCCCCACATGGTCTTTTCTCTGTTCATGAGCACTCTTGATGTCTTTTCCTTTTCTTATAAAGATACCAGTCCCATTAGAACCCCAATCCTCACGGCCTCATTTAACTTTAGTTACCTCCTTAAAGGCTCTATTTCCAAATATAGTCCCATTGAGGATTAGGGCTTCAACATATGAACTTGGGGGAGGCACAGTTTGGTCCATAGTAGCTATCCTATGGCAGTACTACACAGTCTTGATTACTGTAGCTTTGTAGTCACTTTTGAAACCAGGAAGTGTGAGACCTTCAACTTTGTTCATCACTTAAAAAACCATTTAGGATATCCTGGGTTCCTTGCACTTCCATATTAATATTAGGACCAACTTACACATTTCTACAAAAAAGCCAACATAATTTTTCTTTCAGTAAAAATAATTATTTCATCAGAGAAAGCTCTTAAGAAATAAGAATAGACTGATGCATAACTCTTAAGACAAAAGATGGTAAGGCACTTCTAAAAGTGTTTCTTCAATGAATACAATTCTATTGCAACAGAGAATTCAGTTATCATTAAGAGAAAGAACCAGAAAATGGCTGGATTAAATCTTGTTTATTACTTCTTTTTATTTTCATATATTTTCCTATGAAACTATTTTGAAGACCATAGATTCCTACTTCTGTTGACATTTAACAGTTTTTTCACTACATATAACATATCCATATACTTCTAGAAGTATTTCTTGTAAAAGTGAGTTTTAAACAAACCTAAGTAAATTTGCTCATTACTAATTAGGAATTCCCAAACTGGCTCCACAATTGAATCCAGTTCACTTCAATATACATTTGCCAGGCTTACGATATCTGTAAAAAAAATTGTGTGACAAATGCAAAGATAATATGTTGGGGAGACAGAAATATGTATAAATTATTCCATTATAAGGCAGACTGTTATCAATGTAATTTGACAAAATTGAAGGCTAAGCCATTAAATTTTAAAATCAAAGGATAATTACATTCAATTAAATGCAGAAATATCTTTTAGAGTTCAAGAGTTTTCACAAATGTATAAACTTGCTAGTCATGAAACAGAATGTATCTCGAAATTTCCCTTGTGCACCTTTCTAGTCAATCCCCTTCCAAGCTCAAAAGAAGCTTTTGATTTCTATTCCCATATATTAGCTAGACCTTCATATTGATGGAATTTTACAGTACCTACTCTTTTGTGTCTTTCTTCTTTCACTCAAAATGCTTTTGAGATTCACCTATGTTGTAATATATATCAAGTGTGTATCAGTCTGAGTAGTAGTCTGTTGAAAGACTAGTCACTATTTACCCATTCTTCTTCTGATGAGCATTTTGTTTCTTTTTGGTATTTTGAATAAACTAGTCACTAATTCTGAATGCAAAACTATTTTGTCTTTTCCCCTAAGAGAATGTGAAATTTGAACTATCTTAAGAAATTTCTTATTCATAAATAAAGACTGAGTGTAGGTAATTTAATGCTTATTTAAAGGCTTCTTTATGGAAGTAGCAATAAATCAATTACAGTTTTTTTTTAAAGCTACTTATTTTTTCTATCTTTACCTTTTAGTCTGATATATATAATGCAATTATTTAACTACGTAAATTGGGATTAAATTCTTGTAACCCACAAATTCTCTTAGCCCAAGGCAAGAAGAGACGGTGCTTATCATTTATTTTTTTTCCAAGAACAGACTTAGTGAAGGTATGACCTAAACCTTGCTTTGTAGTACAACATCTCTCATCTTTTGGGTGGATATAACTTTTGATGCCCAAGGACTTTGTTCTAATGCCAATCTTGATTACAAAAGCAGAAACTCTAACCTTATTTATCAGTCCCCGCTTTGAGTAACAGTGTCAGCACTGAGAAAAGAAAAAAATTATATAAAGCTTTTTTTTTAGAAAGTTATATTTACAATCCCATGGGAGAGCAGGTGAGGTGCTGGAAAAGCTGAAAGCAAAGAGAGAGAAAGGAAAGAGGCAGGGGGGTAGTGTTCAGAAAACGATATAACTAAATCTTTCTTTTGGTTTGAAGGTTTTTTTTCCATCAAAATTCATTCACAAAGATATGATTTTATTTAATATTGTGTACCTGCCTTTCATTTAAGGTCAATTAAGTTATGATCTTATGAAGATTTTTGTATCTTTGCAAAACTGATAAGTTCTGGGTCAAATTTTTCTTAAACTGGGGTCTTCGGGGCCCCAGGTATAGAGATATATATACTTGGGAGTTTGAGAGTTCTACCAATATATTTCAGTTTATTTATTTATTTTTTTAATTGAGGGATAGTTGATGAACAACATTATATAAGTTTCAGGTGTACAACACAGCGATTCACACTTTTAAAACACAATTTTTAAAGGTTATACTATATTTACATCCATTATATTGTAAAATATTGGCTATATTCCCTGTTATACAATATATGTTTTAGTTTAGTTCTGTTTCATTCCAGTGTTGTTTAAAATATTTTACTACACATTAAATTAAGACTTCTCTTTTGCTATGATAATTCATCACATTTTCCTAAAGTGAGACTTTTCTTTCTTTTTTTTTAAACTTTTTTTTTTTAAACATCTTTATTGGAGTATAATTGCTTTACAATAGTGTGTTAGTTTCTGCTTTATAACAAAGTGAATCAGATATACATACACATATATCCCCATAAAAATATGGAATGCTTCATGAATTTGCATGTCATCCTTGCGCAGGGGCCATGCTAATCTTCTCTGTATCATTCCAATTTTAATATATGTGCTGCCGAAACGAGCACTTTTTAAACTTTTCTATTGTGGCACAACATAGATAACATAAATCTTACCATTTTAACCATTTTTAAGTGTGTAGTTCAATGGCATGAAGTACATTCATATTGCTGTATAGACTTTAATTACATCAGTATTTCTTAAACTGATATTTTCAAGAGTATTTGTAAATTTTATTTTTCTTTTTTATAAAATTAATTTTTATTGGCATATCTTTACAATGTTGTGTTAGTTTCTACTGTACAGCAAAATGAATCAGCTATACATATACATATATCCCCTCTTTTTTGGATTTCCTTTGCATTTAGGTCACCACAGTGCATTAAGTACAATTCCTATGCTATACAGTATGTTCTCGTTAGTAATCTATTTTATACATAGTATCTATAGTGTATATGTGTCAATCCCAATCTCCCAATTCCTCCCCTCCCAGTATTTGTAAATTTTAAACCAACATTTTTTTCTTTAAAAAGGGTTTGTAGGGACTTCCCTGGTGGTGCAGTGGTTAAGAATCCGCCTGCCAAAGTAGGGGACACAGGTTCGAGCCCTGGTTTGGGAAGACCCCCACATGCCGTGGAGCAACTAAGCCCCAGCACCACAACTACTGAGCCTGCGTGCCACAACTACTGAAGCCCACATGCCTAGAGCCCATGCTCCACAGCAAAGAGAAGCCACCATAATCGCACTGCAACGAAGAGTAGCCGCTGCTCGCCACAACTAGAGAAAGCCCGCGCACAGCAACAAAGACCCAACACAGCCAAAAATAAATAAATAAAATTTTAAAATAAATAAATTAATAAAAAGGTTTGTAATTTTTTTTTTTAAAGTTTTTTGCTGCACCCCACTGGTATGTGGGATCTTAGTTCCCTGACCAGGGATCAAACCCTCACCTCCTGCATTGGAAGGCAGAGTCTTAACCATTGGACTGATGGGGAAGTCCCAAAAAGGGTTTGTATATTATTTGAGATTAAGAATCAGTATTCTAGGTAATAAAGTCCTCTTATAATATAGAATTTTTTTCTCTTGATAAACGAGTATTCTTTCTTTCTTAGTCTGATATAGAACATTACAGTTTTTCCCTTTTTTACCTAGAAATGCAGAACAAAATTCAATTTTTAATTGTGGTAATCATTTTTTCTGTTCCCAATATAATTACTTGCCTATATATTTCTTTATTTTCCTTTAATTATAAATGGTCCTATTTTAAATGGTTTATATTATACTTTGAAATTCTTTTTAGTAAGTAGATACTATATAAATTTTAAATGCGCACTGAAATTTTTGGCTCAAAGTAGTAAACTATCAATTACAAATAGCTGAACTCTAAGTTTTAGGAATTTTCTTCAATAGTAGCAACTAATATTTTTAAAGTATTTACAGTGTGCCAGGGCATTGTGCTACTCAATGTACTGTGAATTATCTAGTAAAATCCTATGTTGTAGGTACTATTATCACCCCGACTTTACAGAGGTTCAAAGAAACAAAAAATCTTCCGCAATGTCCTGAGGCGGTTCCGTTAGAAATCAAGTCTTGCTGAACTCCAAAGCTCAGGCTCTTAACCAAAATGCACATTGTATCCCAAGCCGCACATTCTACTTTGCATTACTGATGGTTTTTCCGAGATTCTTTGTGGGAGAATGCTCATTGCTTCTCCCAACGAAGCGGAACCCTGTCTTGTAACAAACTTTTTGCCCTTGCACAAAGTTTCCTACCATGTCCACCCTCAGTGCAGTCCTAGTCCACCCTCTGATCTTGGGCCGCTACAGAGGCTGGTCCCCAGATCTTCGTGCCTCAACAAAGCCCCTCCCCCTCACACGCTGGCAACCACAGCAGGGCCCTGTCCGCTCACACCTTGGTCCCTGTGAAGAGCCTGGTCCCTTTAGACCCTGATTTCCTAGCAGGGCTCCAACTCCGCAGACTTGTGATCCCGGCAGAGCCTCGTTCCATCAGGCCCTCGTCCCCCAGAGTTTTCAGACACTGCTTTCCAGCACAGGTGCGGTTCTTGTACCTTAGCAATATCCCTCAGCAAACTTTCACTGAGACATCTCCATACAAAGGTTCCATCCCAACCCCTAATTCAGGGCACCTCTCCACCTTTCCCTTCTCCAACTTTTTCTCAGAATCGTTTTTTTCCCCCCTATTCTGCTCTTTTGTTGCTTCTTATTCACTCTCCTCAACTTCCCCCACCATCTGGTGCCCCAGTTTCTGTCCCGGGAGTGCCCCCCCAAACTTACCCAACGCCCTCTTTCCAAGGAGCAGCGATCTCGAACGGCTCCCTGCTTTACCTCTCACCTTTGCTCCCGAGGACCCGGCCAGGCGATCCCCCCACAACTCGCGCGGCCCTGAAAAAGTCTTTTGGCCTGTTATCGAGTGAAGCTCCGCCCTCTTCAAGCCTATTGGTCACTGTTCCTAAAACTCCCGCCTCTCCAGCTTCCAGCCCGCCTCCCTGCCCCGCAGCCCTTGTTTTCATTCCCCTTGTCACACGAGGCAGTGGCGAACCCGAAGTGGGAGGAGCGAGGGAGGGGGGCGGAAAGAGAGCAGAAAGCGAAAGGCACGGGGCGCCTCTCTTTCCTACGTCTGACTCGGTTCTCGACTGCTCCGGGCCGCCGTTGTATTGTGGGATCGCTGCGCCGTGCCTGAGACGCTCGGATCCGCAGGGGCGCCCACTTGCTAGCGCCTCCTGTCGTCTGTAAGGTTGCCCTGCCATTCCTCGGCACCCCAACTCCCCCCACCCCCCTATCGCCTCCTCCTCCATCCTCCAGTTCAAAATGGCGGCGGCGGCGGCAGCGGCGGTGGCTATGGCTCCTCCGGGCTGCCCGGGTTCTTGCCCCAACTTCGCCGTAGTCTGCTCCTTCTTGGAGCGCTACGGGCCGCTGCTCGACCTGCCTGAGTTGCCGTTCCCCGAGCTGGAGCGGGTGCTGCAAGCTCCGCCGCCGGACGTCGGCAACGGAGAAGGTAAGCTAGGGGCCCGAACGCCCGGCGGGAAGCGGCCCTGGCATGCTCCTTCTCTCCGCTCTTCACAGACACCCCGGACCTCCGCGGCTCTGTCCTCCCGCTGGGGCGCAGTTCAGCCCGGCCGATCTTCTCCTCCCAGCCCCCGGGGTCTTGGGCAGTGGGGAGGCGGGGCGGAGGCCCCATAGGGCCACTCCGCCCGACGCCCAGCAGAGGTGGGGGCGTCGCGGGCTAGGTCTGGGCTGGGGGCGGGGAGGGGTCATTGTGCTGGTCGGCCGCCCCTGGGACTGCTATCCCGCGGCGGGGACCGGGCCCCCCAATCCTTCTCCCTCTCGGTGGCGGGGGAAGGGGAGCGCAGGTTCCGGCCAGCTTTGCGCTTTTCTCCTCTACTCCTCCCTCACTCCCTCCCCTCCTCCCACCATCCTCGCTACCATCTCCGGGGAGGCTGGGCTCATCTTCTTGGGGCGCCCCTTTCTCTCCCTCCACCTGGGTGGGCGGGGGCAGCGGACACTTCATCTCTCCCTCCCTCTAGTGGGAACTCCCCCGAGAGAGTCGGCTCTGGTCTCTTTTCCTTTCCCCTCCAGGGCTGGTTTAACCCCCCAAACTCCTTCCTCTGAGTCCGGAGGTTTGCTCCTCCTCCTTAGGAGGGGGTCCTCCTCCATTCTCGCTTTGGGGCGTGCAGTCGGTTCAGCTTCTCCACTTTGGAGGGTAGAGGGTTAATTTCTCCTCCCCCATAGTTTTCCTCCTCCCCACCTCCCCCCAAATAATAGAAGAGCATCTCCCCACTTTTCCAGTCCCTTCCCCCTTCATCCTGGCATAAGGCTTAGGGGAAGAAGAAGTCGCCCTCCCATTTGCAGGGTAGGGTGGGGTGGTTAGTATGTAGGGTGGAGGAGGGGCTCAGACGGAGGGGAAACAGTTGAAGAAGGTGCTTGTTGCTCATGTTTCTCTCTCTGGTGCCGCCGGTCTATTATTGGTGTTCGCAAGCGGTGCTCCTTCCACATAAGGCCACCGCGCGGCTTCAGGGCGCATGCTCTGCCCGGCCCCATTGAAACTTCCTGCTGCTGCGGCGGCGGCGGCGGCGGCGGCGGCGGCGGCGGCGGCTGGTGGTTCTTTTCGCTGGAGCATCTCCGCGCTGCGCCTGCTGCTTCCAGCCCTCATTGAGCGCATACACTCACTCCCTCCCTATTTATTCCCGATCCATGCCTCTGCTTTCTGGCACATTTCTTTTTTCAGAGAAGGGTTTTTTTGTTGTACTCTGAGCATTGCCTTTATCTGGGAACAGCCCTTGGCTAGAGAAGAAACGTTTCCAAATAGGTCTTTTTTTTTTTCCCCTTTTTTGTCCGTATTAGGTGGCCACAGTGGACTGGGTATTGTGCAAAACAGATAGCTATTTCCTTTACAAGAAATCAGGGCCGGTCTTTAATTCTCCATGGAAATGAAGAAGTTTCTGTTAACAGAATATATTTACATAGCTAGGAAGAGCCCAAGTGTGAAGTTGTTCAAAATATTACCTGTAGAGAAAATTATATTATGGCTACCAAAGACTCAAATTAATACAGCAGTTATGGTACAGGCATATATCTCTTCTTACCTGCCCAGATCTCCTCTACCATTCATAAACTCTGGCAAATAAAAGATTATATTATATAAAGACTTCTGCAGAATTTCTTGAAAAGTTAAACTCCCCAATATAGTAATTTCAATTGCAATTTGATGGCTATCAAATTGTATTTACATTTCTTTTACGGAAATGATCATTATGAAGGAGAGTGGTCATTATGAAGGAGAGTGCCTTATAAGTTACTTTTAGGATACCTTGGGAAATGATGGTAATGTATCTATAAGAGAGAAATGTGGGAATTTGAGGAAAGGGATTGCTGGTAAATTGTTTTTGGAATGTATTTGGACCAAGTTGGAATGCAGGCATAAATTTTCTGTCCTGGCATTATATTTTGGGTGGTATATAAGATTGCTTGCTTCTCCATTCCTTTTAAGTATTTTGGCCACTGCGTTTGGCTTCTGTTAGTAACAAGAAAAAATATCAGAGTCAGTCTAATACTTCATGTTACTTTTCTATCTAGGATTGAACAATGGGCGACTAGCTAAGTAAAAAATGAGAAGTAATACGAGTTGAGAGATTATACCAGTGGGTTCAGCCATGCATTACTGTTGGTATAGTTTCAACTATAATAATAGATCTTGTCATAAGGTGATCCAAGAATAATAATTAATGTTACGCAGTTCAAGATCCTTGGCTAGTGAAAAGTCTCTGCAGGTGAAATGCTGCTACTGTGCAGGGAAAAGATTTTCAGGCCTTTGGTGATGGTTAACCTACTTGTAGTAGTTGATAATACTGCTCCCACTAAGAAGATTTGGACTGAGTCTTGGGGAAGGAGTTGTGGTGTACTAGAAAGAGTTAAAAGACATTGGTTTTAGTTGAACTAAATATTTTGCTGATAATCTCTGGACAGCTGAATCAACCTCTTGAATAGTGTAAATATGTAGTTTGTGGGGCAAATTACTTAATTTCTATGGACCTCAGTTTCTTGAGTAAATAGAGGTAATATCTGAGGATCAAATGAAATGTTTCAAAAATCCTTTCATAAACCAAGTACTTATAAATATTCTTTTTTTTTTTTTTGGACATGCCGCACTGCCTGCTGGATCTTAGTTCCCCAACCAGGGATTGAACCTGGACCCTGGTAGTGAAAGTGCCAAGTCCTAACCACTGGACCGCCAGGGAATTCCCTAAATATTCTTGTATTACAAATTTTATTAAAGATATTTGTGAGGTAGAAGACACAAAAGTACATTTGGAATGAAAATGTTAAATTTTTAGCTTGTAGTGAGAAAGGAGTTTAAGCACAGTGTAATGTTGAGCTTTTGTGCTCTTGGGGAAAAGTCTGTTATAATCAAAGGAGTTTTGCTCTATATACATTTTAGTATTTTTAAAAGGCAGTTCTTAGTGCCATTTCAATAATCCTATTTTATAAAACTTTTGGTTTTTCCTAGTGCGATTATTCCTTAAAAGGTTTGTAAAGTATATTCTTCTGAGTTGCCAGTTAAATTCTTTTTTACCTAGTCATTGTTGTAGGTATATCGACATTATGACATCTTTGAACAAGGCTGTGTTTCTCTATATTGTCCTTGTTTAGGCCCTTTATGATCTTTCCCTTAAATTTTTGTTTATAAGTCTTAATTTGACATTATGGCTTCGGCTTAGAATGCTCTTCATCCCCTACAGTGTCAATTATTAAATTTGGTTTTATAAACTACTTGTTTAGTCTTAAGGATATAAGCTACCATTTATTGAGCATTTACTATGTGCAAACATCAGCTCCTTATTTCTTACAACTATTCTCTGAGGTTGGTACTATTATTCCTATTTGGCAGGCATAGAAACTAAGGTTCAAGAGATTGATTCAGCTGTCCAGTGCCCAAGATTATACAGTTTTTGGTAGAATCTTAGATTTGTTATTGATATTAGTTAGAATAGGAAAAGAATGTGCCAACTGAAGGTATGTTTTATTCCCTCTCCCTCAGTCTACTGTAGCCCTCCCAATTCTGTGCTCTGTATGGACCTCCCCAGCTTCCTCTTGATGGGAGGTGGTTGATCAGGAGGTATGACTGTAAACAAAAGTGGACATTGACTTTGTGGAATTACCAACATCCAAGGCTCCCAAGTGTCTTACCTCTCCTCCAGAGGGCATTCTTCTTCAAGAGAAAAATATAGTTTTTCATTCTTTAAACATAGTCTTTGTATGGGTACTGATTGAGAAGTTATATGTATCTAATGACAGTCTATTAAGGTGTGTATGGATAAGGTTGACTGAGTTACTGTATAGTATTAAGTTGAATCATTAGTTTTTTGGTTTGTTTTGGTTTTTTAATTTTTAGTGTAATTTTAGTTTTGATTTGTGTTTCACATTTTTAAATGAATTGAAGTTTAACTCTTGCAGTCAAAATGTCAAGTATAAAAGCATATACCGGGCTTCTCTGGTGGCGCAGTGGTTGAGAGTCCGCCTGCCGGTGCAGGGGACATGGGTTCGTGCCCCGGTCCGGGAAGATCCCACATGCTGCGGAGCGGCTAGGCCCGTGAGCCATGGCCGCTGAGCCTGCGCGTCGGAGCCTGTGCTCTGCGATGGGAGAGGCCACAACAGTGAGAGGCCCACGTACCGCAAAAAAAAAAAAAAAAGGACATACCTTATTTTTTTAACTGGACTTGTGATTGAAACTTAATATGTTCTCTTCTGTTGGTGATAATCGAATTGTGTGACAGCAGTTTTTAGGTTCATTCATGAAGTAGAAAGATGACTTTACCATAACTAGAGTCACCATCTGTTGCTTTGAGCAAAAGATCTTACCAGGTACATGTGCCAGGAGTTGCATGGATCTACAGTGGTAGGCTGTTGGTGGTAGCATTGCTGGAACCACAACCTCGTTTGGTCGAAATGTCTAGTTTTGGCTCTTCCACCTTTGAAAGAAGAAATATTCTTTAGACATTTATTAGAGGGAAGGAGAGAAAGGTATTTCTTTTCCATCATTTTTGGTATATCACAGAGTTGAGGTAACCAAAAGTTATGGACGTTCGGAGGGAGGTTGTTGGCATTGTCCCAGAACTGGAGGTAATAGGGACAGGAGTTTTCTGGCTAATATTGGGCCTGTTAATGAAAACTGACTTTCTTCTTTTTTAAATTACTACAGAGTTTGCCTTGAAATTTACCAGTGTTGTTAAATTCTCAGCTAGTAAGGAAGGTAAGCATTTATTAGCTACTTCATTTACTTAATTTGTATATTGAATATTTGCTATATTCTAAGTGCAGTAAACATTATGGTGATTATGTATTTTTTAAAATACCCTTTTTTTTTTTGGCCATGCGGCTTGTGGGATTTTAGTTCCCGGACCAGGGACTGAAGCCAGGCCCTTGGCATTGAGAGCGCAGAGTCCTAACCACTGGACCACCGGGGAATTCCCTATGGTGATTATTTTAAAAAGACATTAA